TTTCTTTTTCTGTCTCATAAACACGCTAGATAACAGGGATATCTTGCTACTCCTACTTACACTTTGGTCACACTTCACAGACACGCACATGCATATATATATACATACATCTAGGTTTTTCCCCTTTTTCTAAATAGCTCTTGTTCTTCTTTATTTCTTCTATTGTCCATGGGGAAGTGGAAAAGAATCTTTCCTCCGTAAGCCATGCGTGTCGTATGAGGCGACTAAAATGCCGGGAGCAATGGGCTAGTAACCCCTTCTCCTGTAGACATTTACTAAAAAAGAGAAGAAGAAAAACTTTATAAAACTGGGATGCTTAAATGTGCGTGGATGTAGTGCGGATGACAAGAAACAGATGATTGCTGATGTTATGAATGAAAAGAAGTTGGATGTCCTGGCCCTAAGCGAAACAAAGCTGAAGGGGGTAGGGGAGTTTCAGTGGGGGAAATAAATGGGATTAAATCTGGAGTATCTGAGAGAGTTAGAGCAAAGGAAGGGGTAGCAGTAATCTTAAATGATCAGTTATGGAAGAGAAAAGAGAATATGAATGTGTAAATTCAAGAATTATGTGGATTAAAGTAAAGGTTGGATGCGAAAAGTGGGTCATAATAAGCGTGTATGCACCTGGAGAAGAGAGGAATGTAGAGGAGAGAGAGAGATTTTGGGAGATGTTAAGTGAATGTATAGGAGCCTTGAACCAAGTGAGAGAGTAATTGTGGTAGGGGACCTGAATGCTAAAGTAGGAGAAACTTTTAGAGAGGGTGTGGTAGGTAAGTTTGGGGTGCCAGGTGTAAATGATAATGGGAACCCTTTGATTGAACTTTGTATAGAAAGGGGTTTAGTTATAGGTAATACATATTTTAAGAAAAAGAGGATAAATAAGTATACAAGATATGATGTAGGGCAAAATGACAGTAGTTTGTTGGATTATGTATTGGTAGATAAAAGACTGTTGAGTAGACTTCAGGATGTACATGTTTATAGAGGGGCCACAGATATATCAGATCACTTTCTAGTTGTAGCTACACTGAGAGTAAAAGGTAGATGGGATACAAGGAGAATAGAAGCATCAGGGAAGAGAGAGGTGAAGGTTTATAAACTAGAAGAGGAGGCAGTTAGGGTAAGATATAAACAGCTATTGGAGGATAGATGGGCTAATGAGAGCATAGGCAATGGGATCGAAGAGGTATGGGGTAGGTTTAAAAATGTAGTGTTAGAGTGTTCAGCAGAAGTTTGTGGTTACAGGGAATGTGGGTGCGGGAGGGAAGAGGAGCGATTGGTGGAATGATGATGTAAAGAGAGTAGTAAGGGAGAAAAAGTTAGCATATGAGAAGTTTTTACAAAGTAGAAGTGATGCAAGGAGGGAAGAGTATATGGAGAAAAAGAGAGAGGTTAAGAGAGTGGTGAAGCAATGTAAAAAGAGAGCAAATGAGAGAGTGGGTGAGATGTTATCAACAAATTTTGTTGAAAATAAGAAAAAGTTTTGGAGTGAGATTAACAAGTTAAGAAAGCCTAGAGAACAAATGGATTTGTCAGTTAAAAATAGGAGAGGAGAGTTATTAAATGGAGAGTTAGAGGTATTGGGAAGATGGAGGGAATATTTTGAGGAATTGTTAAATGTTGATGAAGATAGGGAAGCTGTGATTTCGTGTATAGGACAAGGAGGAATAACATCTTGTAGGAGTGAGGAAGAGCCAGTTGTGAGTGTGGGGGAAGTTCGTGAGGCAGTAGGTAAAATGAAAGGGGGTAAGGCAGCCGGGATTGATGGGATAAAGATAGAAATGTTAAAAGCAGGTGGGGATATAGTTTTGGAGTGGTTGGTGCAATTATTTAATAAATGTATGGAAGAGGGTAAGGTACCTAGGGATTGGCAGAGAGCATGCATAGTTCCTTTGTATAAAGGCAAAGGGGATAAGAGAGAGTGCAAAAATTATAGGGGGATAAGTCTTCTGAGTATACCTGGTAAAGTGTATGGTAGAGTTATTATTGAAAGAATTGAGAGTAAGACGGAGAATAGGATAGCAGATGAACAAGGAGGCTTTAGGAAAGGTAGGGGGTGTGTGGAACAGGTGTTTACAGTGAAACATATAAGTGAACAGTATTTAGATAAGGCTAAAGAGGTCTTTGTGGCATTTATGGATTTGGAAAAGGCGTATGACAGGGTGGATAGGGGGGCAATGTGGCAGATGTTGCAAGTGTATGGTATAGGAGGTAGGTTACTGAAAGCAGTGAAGAGTTTTTACGAGGATAGTGAGGCTCAAGTTAGAGTATGTAGGAAAGAGGGAAATTATTTCCCAGTAAAAGTAGGCCTTAGACAAGGATGTGTGATGTCACCGTGGTTGTTTAATATATTTATAGATGGGGTTGTAAGAGAAGTAAATGCGAGGGTCTTGGCAAGAGGAGTGGAGTTAAAAGATAAAGAATCACACACAAAGTGGGAGTTGTCACAGCTGCTCTTTGCTGATGACACTGTGCTCTTGGGAGATTCTGAAGAGAAGTTGCAGAGATTGGTGGATGAATTTGGAAGGGTGTGCAAAAGAAGAAAATTAAAGGTGAATACAGGAAAGAGTAAGGTTATGAGGATAACAAAAAGATTAGGTGATGAAAGATTGAATATCAGATTGGAGGGAGAGAGTATGGAGGAGGTGAATGTATTCAGATATTTGGGAGTGGACGTGTCAGCGGATGGTCTATGAAAGATGAGGTGAATCATAGAATTGATGAGGGGAAAAGAGTGAGTGGTGCACTTAGGAGTCTGTGGAGACAAAGAACTTTGTCCTTGGAGGCAAAGAGGGGAATGTATGAGAGTATAGTTTTACCAACGCTCTTATATGGGTGTGAAGCATGGGTGATGAATGTTGCAGCGAGGAGAAGGCTGGAGGCAGTGGAGATGTCATGTCTGAGGGCAATGTGTGGTGTGAATATAATGCAGAGAATTCGTAGTTTGGAAGTTAGGAGGAGGTGCGGGATTACCAAAACTGTTGTCCAGAGGGCTGAGGAAGGGTTGTTGAGGTGGTTCGGACATGTAGAGAGAATGGAGCGAAACAGAATGACTTCAAGAGTGTATCAGTCTGTAATGGAAGGAAGGCGGGGTAGGGGTCGGCCTAGGAAAGGTTGGAGAGAGGGGGTAAAGGAGGTTTTGTGTGCGAGGGGCTTGGACTTCCAGCAGGCATGCGTGAGCGTGTTTGATAGGAGTGAATGGAGACAAATGGTTTTTAATACTTGACGTGCTGTTGGAGTGTGAGCAAAGTAACATTTATGAAGGGGTTCAGGGAAACCGGCAGGCCGGACTTGAGTCCTGGAGATGGGAAGTACAGTGCCTGCACTCTGAAGGAGGGGTGTTAATGTTGCAGTTTAAAAACTGTAGTGTAAAGCACCCTTCTGGCAAGACAGTGATGGAGTGAATGATGGTGAAAGTTTTTCTTTTTCGGGCCACCCTGCCTTAGTGGGAATCGGCCAGTGTGATAAAAAAAAAAAAAAATTCACGCCTATCTAACACACTCACGCATGCTTGCTGGAAGTCCAAGCCTCATGCCCACAAAACCTCCTTTACCTCTTCCCTCCAACCTTTTTGAGGCTGATCCCTACCCCGTCTTCCTTCCCCTACATGTTTATACACTCTCCAAGTCATTCTATGCTGTTCCATTCTCTCTGAATGACCAAACACCCTCAACAACCCCTCTTCAGCCCTCTGACTAATACTTTTATTAACTCCACAACTTCTCCCAATTTCCACACCAGGAATTCTCTGCATAATATTTACACCACACATTGGCCTTAGACATGACATCTCCACTGCCTCCAGCCTCCTGGTTGGTGCAGCATTTACTACCCATGCTTCACACCCATATAAGAGTGTTGGCACCACTATGCTCTCGTACATTCCCTTCTTTGATTCCATAAATAACGTGTTTTGTCTCCACAGATACCTCAACGCACCATTCGTCTTCTTTCCATCATCAATTCTATGGTTAACCACATCCTTTATAAACCCATCTGCCGACAAGTCAACCTCCAAATATCTGAAAACATTTTTTTCCATATTCCCTCCCTCAAATGTGATATCCAGTTTTTTTTTTATTTAAATTGTGTGATACCCTTATCACCTTACTCTTATCTATGTCCACTTTCAACTTTCTAGCTTTACACAAAATATTAAAAAAAACGGCAAAGCTGTAAGTGCTGTTTTTCAAGCAGCAACAAATTTCAATAAGACTGTGCAAAATATTATTAAGGAAGGTGGCTACAGAGTTCAGCAAGTCTTCAATGATGGTGAAACTAAAGGTTTTTGGAAAAAAAAAAAACTGTCAAAAAGACTTTATATCCAGTTCCCAGAAAACTGCTTCCAGGTTAAGTCTGACAAGGAAAGAGGAAAGACTTATTTTTTTAGTGGATGCAAATGTGACTGGAGATTAGGTATTAGCAATAGCTGATACCTCATTCACTGAGTACTTTGACTACTGGAGATTAGGTACTACATATTACTTCATTCTTCTTCTTTCAACAAACCGGACGCATCCCACTGAGGCAGGGTGGCCCAAAAAGAAAAACGAAAGTTTCTCTTTTTAAATTTAGTAATGTATACAGGAGAAGGGGTTACTAGCCCCTTGCTCCTGGCATTTTAGTCGCCTCTTACAACACGCATAGCTTACGGAGAAAGAATTCTGTTCCACTTCCCCATGGAGATAAGAGGAAATAAACAAGAACAAGAACTAGAAAGAAAATAGAAGAAAACCCAGAGGGGTGTGTATATATATGCTTTGCACATGTATGTGTAGTGTGACCTAAGTGTAAGTAGAAGTAGCAAGACGTACCTGAAACCTTGCATGTTAATGAGACAGAAAAATGGACACCAGCAATCCTACCATCATGTAAAACAAATACAGGCTTTCGTTTTACACTCACTTGACAGGACGGTAGTACCTCCCTGGATGGTTGCTGTCTACCAACCTACTACAAACATATTACTTCATACTTAACAAAATATGAAAACGAAGTACCTCTGTCTCATGAGGAGTTGGTACAAGAACTGTGAGAGGCCCTGGTGAGATCTGAGGTGGGGTGGATGGTGTCATCGTTGCTGCCCCTGGCTTGTCTTGTCGACTCGGTATTCGCACCTGTCAAAGAAAGTGATAATTCTGAGATTAATTCTGAGATATCATTTACATCCTAATTCCAATACACTGATGTAACCATCATCTACCTCATCCCAAATATGCAACCCATAACATGGAAATCTTTTTCAAGAATATATTTACACTATCTTTCATTATTTTAATCTTCATTCTATTAACTTCTATCTTTCTCATGCACTCCAAAAGCAAGCAAGCAAGCAAGCACGTACACGCAGACACACACACATACATAGCTTTAAGTAGAGGTATGATAAAGCTCACTGTTCAGGGAGAGTGACCTAGTAGCAACCAGTGTAGAGGTGGGGCCAGGAGCTTGGACTCAACCCCTGCAACCTCAACTAGGTGAGTACGTACGTACGTACACACACACACGCACGCACGCACGCACGCACGCACACGCACACACACACACACACACACACACACACACACACACACACACACACACACACACACACACCACACACACACACACACACACACACACACACACTCACTCACACTCACTCATCACACTCACTCACTCACACTCACTCACTCACACTCACTCACTCACACTCACTCACTCACACTCACTCACTCACACTCACTCACTCACTCACACTCACTCACACAAACATTATTTTTCAATGAACTGGCTCTATCCTACCAAGGCAGGAGAAGGGGTTACCAGCCCTTGCTCCCAGCATTTTAGTCACCTCTTATGACACGCATGGCTTACGGAGGAAGAATTCCTTTCCCCTTCACCATGAAGAGGAAATAAAGAACAAGAACTATTAAGAAAACAGAGGAAAACCCAGATGACTATGTATATATATATGTGTGTACATGTACATATACATAACCATAAGTGTAAAAAGTAGCAAGATATATCTGTTATCCTGTGTGTTTATGACACAGAAGAAAAAAACACCAGCAATGCTACCATCATGTAAAACAATCACAGATTTTCATTTTACACTCACTTGGCAGGATGGTAGTACCTCCCTGGGTGGTTGCTGTCTACTAACCTACTAGTTAATTCATATTTATTTATGACTTAATATTGCATCTTTAGGTATGTTTACATTTCTCTCAAATGCGAATGGAAAGTGTATGATTTGTAGTAATAATATATCAATAATATTATTACCATTGAGGGTAGGATTGCTAGTGTCTTTTGTCTGTCTCATAAATATGCAAGATTACAGGTACGTCTTGCTACTTCTACTTACACTTAGGTCACACTACACATACATATACAAGCATATATATACGTATATACACACCCCTCTGGGTTTTCTGCTATTTTCTTTCTAGTTCTTGTTCTTGTTTATTTCCTCTTATCTCCATGGGTAAGTGGAACAGATTTCTTCCTCCGTAAGGCATGCGTGTTGTAAGAGGCAACTAAAATGCCAGGGGCAAGGGGCTAGTAACCCCATCTCTTGTATAAACTAAAAGAGAAACTTTCGTTTTTCTTTTTGGGCCACCCTGCCTTGGTGGGATACGGCAGGTTTGTTGAAAATTAAAAATTATTATCATTATCATTATTATTAGGAGGAGGAGGAGGTGTGGAGTTATTAAAAGTATTAGTCAGAGGGCTGAAGAGGGGCTGTTGAAGTGGTTTGGTCATTTACAGAGAATGTAACAAAGTAGAATGACTTGGAGAGCGTATAAATCTGTTGGGGAAGGAAGGTGGTGTAGGGGTCGTCCCCGAAAAGGTTGGAGAGAGGGGGTAAAGGAGGGTTTGTGGGAGAGCGACTTGGACTTCCAACAAGCATGCGTGAGCATGTTAGATAGGAGTGAATGGAGACAAATGGTCTTTGGGACCTGACGAGCTGCTGGAGTGTGAGCAGGGTAATATTTTGTGAAGGGATTCAGGGAAACTGATTAGCCGGACTTGAGTCCTGGAAATAGGAAGTACAATGCCTGTAAAAGAAGGAAATTAAAAGTGAATATATGAAAGAGTAAGGTGATGAGGATAACAAAAAAAATTAGGTAACGGAAGATTGGATATCAGATTGGAGGGAGAGAGTATGGAGGAGGTGAATGTGTTCAGATATTTGGGAGTGGAAGTGTCAGCAAATGGATCTATGAAGGATGAGGTGAATCATAGAAATGATGAAGGGAAAAAGGTGAGTGGTGCACTGAGGAGTCTGTGGAGACAAAGAACTTTATCCATGAAAGCAAAGAGGGGAATGTATGAGAGTATAGTTATACTAACTCTCTTGTATGGGTGTGAGGCATGGGTTGTGAATGTTGCAACAAGGAAAAGCCTGGAGGCAGTAGAGATGTCATGTCTGAGGGCAATGTGTGGTGTGAATATAAGGTAGAGAATCTGTAGTTTGAAGAATAGGAGGTGTTGGATTACCAAAACTATTATCCAGAGGGCTGAGGGGTTATTGCGATGGTTTGGTCATGTAGAGAGGTTGGAACAAAATAGAATGACTTCGATAGTGGATAAATCTGTAGTGGAGGGAAGGCAGGGTAGGGGTCAGCCTAGAAAAGGTTGGAGGGAGGGGGTAAAGGAGGTTTTGTGTGAATGAGGGGCTTGGACTTCCAGCAAGCATGCATGAGCATGTTAGATAGGAGCAAATGGAGACAAATAGTTTTTAGGACTTGACATGCTGTTGGAGTGTAAGCAAGGTAACATTTATGAAGGGATTCAGGGAAACCAACAGGCTGGACTTGATTCCTGGAGATGGGAAGTACAGTGCTGACACTCTGAAGGAGGAGTGTTATGTTGCAGTTTTATAACTGTAGTGTAAGCATGCCTCTGGCAAGACAGTGATGGAGTGAATGATGAAAGGTTTTCTTTTTCAGGCCACACTGCCTTGGTGGGAATCGGCCGATGTGCTAATAAAAAAAATAAAAAAATAATGAGTGCACTTTAAAGGAGATGTTAAGGATATTGGTAGTTTGGAGGGATGTCTAAACTGTCGTATCTGAGAGCCTTTGCAAAGACAGTGATTATGTATGAGTTATGGTGAAAGTATTGAATGATGATTAAAGTTTCTTTTTTTTTTTGGGGGGGGGTCACCCTGCCTCGGTGGGAAATGGCCAACAGGCTAAAAATAAAAAAAAAAATAAAAAAAAAATTCAACATTCTCCCAATGAGGCAGGGTGACCCCAAAAAAAAGAGAAACACTTCATCATCATTCACACATAATCACTGTCTTTGCAGAGGCACCCAAATATGACACTTTAGATGTCACTCCAAACATCCAATATCCTAAACCCCTCCTTTAAAGTGCAGGCACTGTACTTTCACCTCCAGGACTCATGTCCGGCTAACCGGTTTCCCTGAAACCCTTCACAAAATATTACCCTGCTCACACTCCAAAAAACCATTTGTCTCCATTCACTCCTATCTAACACACTCGCTCATACCTGCTGCATGTACAAGCCATTTGCACAAAAAAGCTCTTTTACCCTCTCCCTCCATCCTTTCCTAGGATGACCTCTCCCCCTCCACCCCTCCACAACAGATTTATACACCCTCCAAGTCATCCTATTTTGCTCCATCCTCTCTAAATGGCCAAACTACCTCAAGAACCCCTCTTCAGCCCTTCGAATAATACTTCTTGCAACTCCACACCTCCTCCTCCTAATTTCCACACAACAAATTCTCTGCATAATATTTCCACCATGCATTGCCCCTAGACATGACATCTCCACTGCCTCCAGCCTCCCCCTTTGCTGCAGCATTTACAACCCATGCTTCACACCCAGGTAAGTGTTGATGCCACTGTACTCTCGTATATTCCCTTCTTTGCCTCTATGGATAACATTTTTTGTCTCAACAGATACATACCTTTTTTCCTTCATCAATTCTATGGTTAACCTTGTCTTTCATAAACCCTTCTGATTACAAATCTACTCCCAAATATCTGAACACATTCACTTCTTCCATACTCCCTCCCTCCAATGTCATCTCCAATTTTTCTTTACCTGACTCATTTGATGCCTTCATCACCTTAATCTTATCTATGTTAACTTTCAATTTTCTTCCTTTACACACCCTCCCAAACTCATCTGCTAACCTCTGCAACTTTTCTTTAGAATCTCCCAAAAGCACTGTATCATCAGCAACTGTGTCGGCTCCCATTTTGTATTTGATTCCCCATAATTTAATCCCACCCCTCTCCCTAACTCCGTAGTATTTACTCCTTTTATGTTAAACATCCATGGTGACATTACACACATCTAAGGCCTACTTTTACTGGAAAGTAGTCTCCCTCTCTCCTACACACCCTAACGTGAACCTCACTATCCTCATAAAAACTCTATATAGAATTTAGTAACTTACTACCTATTCCATATACCTGCAACATCTGCCACATTGCTTCCCTATCCACCCTATCATATGCCTTTTCTAAATCCATAAGTGCAATGAAAACTTCCCTACTTACATCTAAATACTGTTCACTTATATTTCAATGTAAACACTTAATCTGCACATCCCTTACCCATTCTAAAGCCTCTTTGTTCATCTGCATTCCTGCTCTCTGTCTTACCTCTAATTCTTAAATAATAACCCTACCATACACTTTACCTAGTATACTCTGGAAACTTATTCCCCTATAATTTTTACAATCCCTTTTGTCCCCCCTTCCCTTTATATAAAGGAATTATACACGCTCTCTGCCAATCCCTACGTACCTTCCCCTCTTTCATACATTTATTGAACAAAAGTACCAACCACCCCAAAACCATATCCATCCCCTGCTTTTAACATTTCTGCCATGATCCCATCAGTTCCAGCTGCTTTACCCTCATTCATTTTACTTAATGCCTCACACCTATCCTCCACTCACATGCGGCTCTTCTTCGCTCCTAAATGTTATACCTCCCTGGCCAGTGCATGAAATGACTGCCTCTCTCTCTTCATCTACAGTTAATAGTTCTTCAAAATATTCCCATCATCTTCCCAATACCTCCAACTCCCCATCTACTAACTCCCTTATTCTGTTTTTAACTATCAAATCCATTCATTCCCTAGGCTTTCTTAACCTATTTACCTCACTCCAAAATTTTTCTTATTCTCAGTAAAATTTGTTGACAGCTCCTCACCCACTCAATCATTTACTCTCCTTTTGCACTCCCTCACCACTCCCTTCACCTTTCTTTTATTCTCCATATACTCCACCCTTCTTATATCACTTCTGCTTTGTAAAAACCACTCATACATGACCTTTTTCTCTTTTATCACACCCTTTACCTCATCATTCTACCAATCACTCCTCTTTCCTACTGTATCCACCCTCCTATAACTACAAACTTCTGCTATGCATTCTAACACTGCCTTTTTAAAACTATCCCACCCCTCTTCAACCCCACACTACCTATACTCTCATTTTCCCACCTTTCTTCCATAAGTCTGAGCAGTCGGTAAACGAGTACGTCACTAAGTGAGGAGAGGCTGTATTATTATATTATTGACTCTTGTTGGTTTAGTGCTTAGTTTTGATAATAAAAATTATATTATTTTACAATATTGCACCTTCACATTTGTTTACACTTCTCTCAACTGCGAATGGAAAATGTATGATCTGTAATAGTTTGTGTAAATAAGTTTTTAAAAATTTTAACTTTTTTATAATAGATTTTTGTATATGGTAGTAAATGATAAAATAGACTAGTATCTACATATATTTTTCTTAATTTTTTGGGTTGCAAATCTTCAAAAAAATTTCCAATATATATATTGAAAAAAAAAAATCTGCATATAAGTGGACCCATGCAGTTCAAACCCGTGTTGTTCAAGGGCTAACTGTATCTAGGGGAGCAATGTGGCTGATGTTGCATAGGTGGTAGGTTACTGAAAGCAGTTAAGAGTTTTTATAAGGATAGTGAGACTTGGGGTAGGGTATGCAGGAGTGAGGGAGATTATTTCCCAGTAAAAGTAGGCCTTAGACAGGAATGCATGATGTCACCATGGCTGTTTAACATATTTATAGATGGGGTTGTAAGAGAAGTGAATGCTAGGGTGTTGGGAAGAGGTGTGGGATTAAAATATAAAGAATTCAACACAAAGTGAGAGTTGTCACAGCTGCTTTTTGCTGATGACACTGTGCTTTTGGGAGATTCTGCAGAGAAGTTGCAGAGGTTTGAGGCTGAATTTGGGAGAGTATGTAAAGAAGAAAATTAAAAGTAAACATAAGAAAGAGTAAGGTGATGAGGATTACAAAAAAATTAGGAAATGAAAATTTGGATATCAGATTTCAGAGAGGGAGTATGGATGTTATGTGTTCAGATATCTTGGACAGGACTTGTCAGCAGATGGGTCTATACAAGACGAGGTGAACCACAGAAATGACGAGGGGGGGAAAAAGGCGAGTGGCGCACTGAGGAGTCTGTGGAAACAAAGAACGTTATCCATGCAAGCAAAGAGGGGAATGCATTTGAGTATAGTGGTACCAACACTCATATATGGGTGTGAAGCACAGGTGGTGAATGTTGCAACAACGAGAAAGCTGAAGGCAGTGGATATGTTGTGTTTGAGGGCAATGTGTGGTGTGAATATTATGCAGACAATCCATATCCTGGAGATTAAGAGGAGGTGCTGAGTTACTAAAAGTATTATTCAGAGGGCTGAAGAGGGGTTGTTGAGATGGTTCAAACATTTAGAGAGGATGAAACAAAATAGTGACTTGAAGGGCATATAAATCTGTAGTGGAAGGAAGGTCAGGTAGGGGTCAGCCTAGGAAAGGTTGGAGGGAGGGGGGTAAAGGAAGTTTTAAGTGGAAGGGGCTTAGACTTTCAACAAGCATGCGTGAATGTGTTAGTTAGGAGCAAGTAGAAGCAAATGGTTTTTATGACTTGATGTGATGTTGGAGTGTGAGCAAGGTAAAACTTATGAAGGGATTCAGGGAAACTGGTTAGCCAGGCTTGAGTCCTGGAGGTGGGAAGTACAGTGCCTGCACTCTGAAGGTGGGGTGGGAACAGTGTAGTTTGGAGGGGCATCTGAACTGTAGTATTGGCATGCCTCGTACAAGACAGTGATGGAGTGAATGATGGTGAAAGTGTTATTTTAGTGGGAGATGGCTGGTGTGCTAATAAAAAAATCTTTTACTTCCAAGGCCATCTCTGCAAGGCAGGGTGACCCAAAAAGTAAAAAGGGCATTAACATCATTATTCAGATAGCCCTCTGACTGCCATCCCCCCCCTTTCTCACTCCAGAGTGCAGGCACTGCCTTTTCCACCTCCAGGACTCAAGTCTGGCTAGCCAGTTTTCCCAAATTCTTTCATCAATGTTACCTTTCTTACACTCTAACAGCATATCCATTAAAACCATTTGTCCCCATTCACTTCTATCTAATACTCACACAAGTTTGCTGTATGCTCAAGCCCCTAACACTCAAAACCTTCTGTACCTCCTTTTTCCAACCATTCCTGGGATGACTCCTACCCTTGCTATGTTTCACCATAAATTTATACACCCTCTTTGTCATCCTATTCCTCTCCATTCTCTCTAAATGCCCAAACAACCTTAATAACCCCTCCTCAGCCCTCTGAACCCAGCAGGCTTGTGTGAGCACATTAGATAGGAATGAATACAGACAAGTAGCTTGTAATGGACGTGCTGCTGAAGTGTGAACAACTAACTTTTATGAACAGATTCAAGAAAACTGGTTAGCCAGACTCAGACTTGAGTCCTGGATGTAGGAAGGGAAGAGGCTGTATTCTGAAGGAGGCAGGGATCCTGTAGTCAAAGTGGTAATCTGATTGTGATGTCAGTACACTTCTGGAAAGACAAGATATTGAGTAAATGTGTTTTCTTCTTTGGGTGTCACCCTGGCTTAGCAGGAGATGGATGTTGAGTTGCAATAAATAAATAAATAAATTAAAAATATTAATAAACAAAACAAAAACACATGCACACATAATTATAAAATTAAGTCTTTTAATTTAACTACATATTATATATTTAATTATCAATTACAAAAAAATCTCTATAGTGCCTCAGATGATGATAATAACCTGTAACAGAGTTCCCAACAAAGGTAAACTGAGGGTGGTGCCTGGTGATGGAGGCGGCCACTGGTCCAGGTGATGGCAAGCTGCCTCTAAGCTGGCCTCCCCAGTGTCAAAATATTCTGGAGCTACCAAGTCTAGGACTGTAGTGAAGAGGGACACCAATGGCAGGTGTGATAGTAATACTACACTCTGTAGAATAAAAATGTATGTCAGGACCTATGCTGAAAATCTAATATTGTACATAACTTTACATCACAATATTTTATCTGTAATGACTTCCAGATAGATTTATACAAATCACATTATACTGAAATATCTATGAAGCACATGTGACTTCCTTAGTAACCATATGATAAGCCAGATTATCACTACCTGCAGATCAAATGGTCAGAGTACTTTCACAACTTTGTTGATCAGGCACTTTCTGCAGGAATTTGGGTGGTCTTCTTTTAAAGTATTTCTTGCATTTGCTGGTAAAAGAGTCATGAACCTCAGATGTTGGCATTGAGCTTCTGGCACCTTTTCTTCTCATTAGATTGACACCTCCCTTCATATTTCTTACTCCAATAAGTTGTTATCGTAGTGTACGGATCAGCTATTAGGCATACTGGTTATGAAATACATCCATCTCATCTCTCTTCCATAGTGTATATTCCAAGAACAGAGCAAATCTTTGAGGTGGTTTCAACAGGTCAAGCATTTTACTGGTGGTGCATGTTCAGTAACTTGCTTTTGCAGATTCTGAAGCTCAGATCTCTTGCCTGCCTTGGAAGATGCACAAAGAGACAGCAGAAGTTCTTTGAAAAGCACCATCACTGGCATGGCACCTCTTGCAAAGGAAAATACTGTACTGGAGTGGCATCTCTTCCTTAGAAAAGCCTTCATAACCCACTCTATCTTTTTCCTGACCATGGCCACATTCATTTGGTGCTTCTTAGGTATTGGATCATCTAACATGAATATTCCTAGCTTTTTCCCCATGCCCCTTCCATTATCTGGCTAAATTTTACAGCATTTTGTATCCTATACTTGTTTTCAGTTCTATATTCTTGTTATATCAAAGTAGCTGGAATTTATCACTGCTGAATTTCATCAAATAATTGCAGCAGGTAGTAGACCAATTTCCTCTCATAAATTTCCACTTTTGGATACTGAAATTATTTTAGGTCAAATTAATGTTGAACAATAAACTATGCGGTCATATATACAACTGGACTGTAAGTGACAGTAACACAACACTCTGACTATTTCAAATGAATTAAACAGTGAAGTGTATGGAAAGTAGTGACAGAATAGATAAAATTCAAAATTTACTGTAAAGAGCACTGAAACTCTGAGCTCACCTTCTGAAAGTATCCTCGCCGCAAAGTTCTGTCTTTCACCTGTCTAAAGTACACATACCCATACAAGTAGCCATCTTCAGTCTGCAAAAATAATATCACTTTAGAATAAGAAAAACCCAAGAGGATAACCTGGACAATTAATGATAACCAAGAAAAAAAAAAAAAGCCTGTTACAATATATGTATTGGAGCATTCACAACCCAATTAAAGATGACTAGGCAGTATATTGACCAATTATAATGTTCTTTTTATCTCCCTCCTACATTGCTACAAATACAAAATATTGTTATGAAGTCAGCGCTGCAGAAAATTTACGCATCTAAATTTGCTATTCAAAACAGATACATTACAAAACCTAAAAATGAAAACAAATGATGAGATTAAACTTGGAAATAAAACAAGAGTAAAACTGATTCACTGATAAATGAAGACAATGTAGTACGTAGTTGGTTATTTACAAATACAGTGGCACCCCCGCATAACGATCACCTCCGAATGTGACCAATTATGTAAGTGTATTTATGTAAGTGCGTTTGTACGTGTATGTTTGGCGGTCTGAAATGGACTAATCTACTTCACAATATTCCTTATGGGAACAAATTCGGTCAGTACTGGCACCTGAACATACTTCTGGAGTGAAAAAATATCGTTAACCGGGGGTCCACTGTATACTGTAATTTGATATTAGATTTTTACCAATTTATGTGCAAAATTTACCTTATTTTCCATCACATAAGACCAACACATCCCCTTAAACTTGACCCACATTAATTTTAGACATTTCCGTGAAAAAAACTTAGTGGATATTATTATATACATAACCAAATGCTACTATCAATGCTCACTGCCACGCAAAGTAAGTTCAGTATACAGTGGAACCTTGATTGTTGAACATACTACTTCTCGAACAAATTGTTTTGCAATCAAGGAATTCAAGAAAAAACCACCCATTTACCGATTTCAACTATCCAATAAAGTGGTCAGAAATTGGCAATTTTTCCAATTTCACACAAATTTCAAAAGATCCAATTTCCAAATAGGGTCCAGAATAAACAAGACAGACATTCCTGGAACTAAAATAACATTTTTTCTGTTCATTAGTCACGGCCCCAGGCCCCTCTTACACTTCTTTTGCTTTCCACTTTGAATTTTTATTCTCACAAAAAATAGAAGATTTACTATTATGCAGACTCCTGCATTAATGTAGAAATGGTATAAATAATATCAGCACACTTGTGAAAGAATATTAGACTCACCAGTTGAAGTGTACTGAACGTGTGGCATGATTTGTTTACTTTTGAACTTAGGCAAAAATCAAACCTTTCTGCTACTTTGAGCTCAACTTCAAGGTACTTTTCATTGTAAAACCAATCAAAATCATCTCAATTTCTGTAATACGTCTTCCATTCTATAAAATGAGACCAGGAAAACTAGAATACAACCATAAATATCATACAAAAATACAATGCAAAGTTGCTGTTTTAAACCCAAAACACGGTCAAAGTTTTTTTTTCTCATTATGCATTGTGTGCTGCAGGATTTTTTTTATACTGTGCACACTGACCACATAGACCCATTCTTTCATATGTAGGTCTACCAGCTATCTCTCATTAGATTTGAAGGCTCTAGAATTTACACTAGAATTTACGTGCCTAAGACGTACTAGTACGTCGGAAACCCTGAAAGGGTTAAACCAAAAACATGGTTGTAGTTTTTTCTCATTATGCACTGCATGTTGCAGGTTTTTTTTTATACTGCAAACACTAACCATGCAGACCCATTCTCTCACATGTAGGCCTACCAGATTTCTTCTGCAAGATTTGAAGCTGCTAGAATTTTGCCATTAGCTCTCCTCTTACAGGTAAGAGACAGTTAAATTTTCATTTATTGTACAGTATTTCAGTTAAATTTTCATTTAGCATTCATTTTTACAGTTTCCCAGTGCTGTATAATTTTATACATTGTTTTATACAGTAGTAATACATTGTTATTAATAAATTATTATACTGTATTGTCATTTGGGGTCTGGAACGGATTAACTTTATTTACACTATTCTTTATGGGAAAAATTACTTTGGTTGTCATCCATTTTGGTTGTTGAACCAACATCTGGAACTAAGTTCAATAACCAAGGTTCCACTGTATTAGATTTTCTATGTGTATTCTTCATAAGTTATTGTAAAGGGCACTCTTAAAATTTTCTGCAGTCTATTTTTCAGCTAAAACCGACTGACTTTGTACTATTATTAAAAAGCACTATCATGGTTTGATCATTCAGAATCTTGAAAATAAAAAGTTGCTGACACTATTATCAATCTGCTGTTAACTACATAATGAATTTAGTTCTGCTGTATCTTAAAAATTTGCTATTGGTGTATTGTGTCATTAGCAACATGTTACTATGGCTATTATGATTAATTTGTTCCCATATTACAGACAGCATCACAAGGTAATACAAAATAATTAAAAATACATATTCATGCTATAATTCATTCCAAGTCATAGGAGAGAGAGGTTTTATTTGTAAGTCAGGCAAGTATCTAGGGCAAGGGTGGCTCACCTCTCAAGAGAAGGGCCTTAACCCTAAGGTGTGAAAAGAACCCAAAATCTTACAAGTCCCATAGTCAGGAGGGGGTGGCTAAAATTTAAAGTCATATTACCTGTATTCTATCTATACGTGCTTTCCTGTTGACCACCTGATTAACCAAGCTGTAACATTACTGCCTGTAGCCCAAAAGTTAATACAACCCTCAGAATCCTACTGATCCTG